TATAATATATACCTGGCATGTGAGGTATTAAATAAGATATTATTATTACAAACTTCCTACATGGATACTGAGAACCCAACTCAAGTCCTCTGGAAGAGCAAGGAGTCCTCTTTACCACCTGAGGGGTCTCTCCACCCTTGCCATATATTTTTAAAATCCTAGGAACATACTGATTGGCCCAGCAAGGACAGGATGTCCATCTTTAGGTGTCTCCATAGAGAAGCTAACAATCTTTTGAATAGGGTAAATTATTGCTGGTTGTGGCTGGTATTTGACACATCTGGTCACTAAATGCCAGAAACATCCATCACCCTTGTGACAACAGTCACCAAAATATGAACTCGGTCCCCCATTTCCAATGCCAACTGGGAAGAGTGAGTGCCACACTGCCTCACGCTGAAAACCACCCCTAAAGTCAGGGGGTGGAGGCGGTGTGACTGGCTGAACCCCCGTGTCTGTCTTCTCTTGGGTGGAATCAGGACCGACGGGGTGTTGTGTTTGGTAGCTTCCCAGACCCAGTGGCACCAGTGGCTGAGAAGGAATTAACCAAAGCTGTTCCCAAAGTAACTATCACGGGGGTTCCTATTACAGAAAGGGTACTCCAGAGACAAAGGCTGACAGCTGCTGACTACCACCACTGGGGTGGGGGGTGATGCTCCCAAGAGGAAACGACTACTCCTCTCTCCTCCCCAAACCACCTTCCTGGTCCTAGTAACTAATCCCAGGGTCCAGCTGAAAACCATCCCTTTGCTATGGCCCCAGGGGTCCCCTGATCTCTTGTTTTTAACCCTTCTTGTACTCCTTGCTCTACAGCCTCCAAGACGATCAACTGGTTCACTGTCTACGGGACTCAGTCCTTGGACTCAGCTTAGAAACTTGCTAGACAAAGCAACAGCCAGATGGCAATATATATGGGTACACCATGTCTGGAGCAAATGAGCCCCTCAGAACTAGGCCATGTGGAATTCTAGGAAAGAACTGAGAAGCCGGCAGCCTAGCCATCTTTGGATTCTGAGAAAAAGAGGAAGGGAAGACTGTTGTTGAAGAGCTCCAGCATCTTCGGGGGGCAGGGCTGAGCGAGGCTCAGGAGTCACACAGCCACAGAAGCATCTCACGTGTAGCAAGGGCCAAGACTGGGATACCTTCCTAGGAGAGACTTCAGAGCATCTCTGTGAGATGAGCATGCTGCTCAAGAGGCGCAGCCCATGCCAGCACCTCCTGAGTTATCCTATCCACCAGTTCCAAAGAACAGCTCATGTCCTCGGCCTCTAGCCCCAGAATGTGACCTCACGCCCTTCCTTGTCTGCGGTAAGGTAGTTGAGACAGGGACTTTCCAGAGGAATTTAGCCCTGAAGAGATACTGTAGAATGAGTGTCTGAACTTCTAGAATGTTCTGTCCTGCATCCTCTTTTAGAGTTCCTCCCTCTTGCTTCCAACAAAAAGCCAATGTGGAGGCAAGCTCCCTGGGTGTACTTTTCTCTCTTTTTCTTGGTCTTCAAGAGCGCGGGAGGGGAAGGAAAGGCAATGGTACTGCAAAGGTAGGACCAAATAAATCAAAGGACTCGTCTGTTCATCTCTTCTTCCTCCCCCCAACATCCACAGATCTCCCTTTCCCTCAGCTTTCTTTTCTTAGTGAGGCAGATGGTCGCATAGAATTAATTGTCCTGCCATTGTAACTCCGACAGAAGCAGCCACCTCCTCACTTACTCATCAAAAGAAGTGACAGTCTTAATCACCCCAAACACTAAAGTCACTTAAGTTGTCGAAAAATTAGGATGATACCAGAAAAGCTGATACGTCAGACTTCCTTCCCAGTGTGGAGGTCCGAGGTCAGTGCATTCTCTTTCCTTTAGAAAGGGCTCTGTGCACCATAATAAAGCATTAAAGTTGCCTTTCTCCTTCTACTTTCTCACTACCCAGGGCATCATTGTGAAGCTCCAGGAGTCTGGCAGAGGAGCCCTCTAGGCAGGTCAGTAGAGAAGAGCAGGTGTTCTGTCATGTCTACCAGGAGGCAAGAGTTCAGAGGTAGCAATCTGGACGGTTCTCCCCCTGCCTAGCCCCAGGCACTGTCCTCCTCACAGATGTGTTCTAGGCCTTCTCTCTTGGTCTTAGACCTCTCCTTGCATCAAACGCTTCCCTGCCTTCTACCAACATGCGTGTGCCAATGACTCCCAAGTCTCTGTCTCCCTCCTTAGGAATTCAGCCTTCTAAGTATGTAAGACTTTCCAATATATGAACTACTTTTCATGGGCCTAATTCCTGAGAAGCACCTGTAGTCACTGACAAAGCTTTCTTGGGTTAGCAAAATTATAATTTTTAAGTGGGTTTCTGATGATGCCACTTAAAAATTGCTTTGACCCATGTTCGAAACTGTTCTTGTGTCCTCTCCCAGAGATTCTTCTTTCTGGTAGGAGTCGGGGAAATGAACAGCCTTTTTGTGTTTCCGACCAAACAGGACTTCTCTAAAGCTCACGCTTGGAAGATTCACAGGCCCACGAAAAGACTTGCTTGGCTTCCCCAAAAGATGGCTATCTAGATTAATTGGTCATATGTATTTCCCCTTGCGTACAGGGAATGACTGCCCATTTATGAGCCAATCATGGCGAACACTGAGTTAAGAAGATAGGTGCTGGTTTAGGTCATCCGTGGTCACTTTTGGGGCCCATCCAAACTACAGACCGTATGGATGGGAGATGAGTAAGAAGCCATTGTCCTTGCAATGTTCTTGATCGGTGGTAGCTTGTGAAGCCATTTTGAATATGATCACAGAAACAGAAACATCTTATACTGTGACCTAGAATAGTGCACGCGCACACACACACACACACACACACACACATGCCTAAAACAAAAATTTCACAAGCAGTTATTTGCCCTTGCTACTAGGAGCACCTTGTGATGATTTTGTAGTTTTGGATACTTGGGAAAGTAATGCCCCTTTAAAGAATTCTATTCTGAACCCACTAAAATGACTCTGACTCACTAATGGGTCATGACCCTCAATCTGAATATTTCCCTCCCATCCCATGTAGCTATGAGGATGGAACCAAGGGCACTGTGCACGCCGGGCAAGGTAGCCACTCCCCTAATACCAGGTTTTAGGTTTGCCAAAACTACTTGCTGTTGAAATTGTTGTGAAAATGTGGTATAAATTCTCCATAAATCTAAGAGGGAAGTGTGTAAGGAAGCAGAAGTTGGTTTAAGAGACATGGGTGGGAGGCACTTGTCACTGGAAGCTTAGAAGGCAGGCCTTGCAACAGAAGATGTCTGAATTCCACAACAGGACTATGAAGATCCAATAGTAAAACATTTCACTAGAACTTTCCTCCCGCTTAGAACAGATCCATGGTTAGGAAGGAATCCTCTGTGGTGGCAGACTGACATGCAACACAACTAGGCATTCGGAGTTTTGTCACACTGACCACACATTTCCACCATCTTGAAAGTGCCCTGAGAAATAAGACACTGTGTATATGAAAAGCATGGGGAGTCGATGAGAATAAATGAGCTATGTACCTGTTCAGACAGAGCTTGGTGACACACAGGAACGAATGCTGTGTGATTAACAATGTAGTCACGTGGTAAAGACAACGTTCACAACAGTGGTTGGAGCTCCAGCGGGGGATGTAAGAGCAAGAGACATAGAAGGGACAGAACAAGTCTTGGATGAAAGGAAACATTTTTATGTCCTGATCTAAGATGTGGGCATGGGGTTAGCAGTTTAGCCTACCCAGCCATCCATAGTACCTGGCATACATGACAGTCAGTGTCCATGGCAAAAAAAATATACATATGACAAACCACAGACTCTGTGCTTAATGAGCTCACGGACACAAGCAGAAGACAGCACCATCACAGCTATTGTACGATGAGATCATAAGGAGTACCTAGAGGAACTCATTCTCCTGTTTACATGACCTTGAGTAAGTCATTTTCTTTCTTAAACCTCATTCTCTAGATCCATTATGCATAGCATACATATATCTGTATGTATGTATATCATTTACATAGATGCATATATAATACACACACATATATAGTAGGTTTATTATGAGAATCAACTAATATACATAATGCATGAGAAAATGTCTGACAAACTGTGAAACACTGTAAAAAATGTGAGATAATATTATCGCTCTGGGTAGCTTTGCAGCTAACTGTCTATTTCTTCTGTGAAACTGCTATCCACACAGTTTTATACCCAGTGGCAGTCGGAAGGAAGCGGGTTGTAAGTGACTATAAATTATTCTCAAATCTAACATATTTTGTGTCTAGCACGATGAGGGATGGAAATAAAGACCGTGGCTATTGCTGAATAGCTTGTCATTATCAAAACAGGGCTTGCTGCTTAGGAGAGCATGGGACAGCTAGACAGGAGGAGACGAGGACTTTGAGCTGGTAGATTTCTGGGGAGAGGACTATAATTTAACCTTGCCAAGGGTCCCTCAATCTCGGTAGCAGCCCCTTATCATTATCACTGCATTCTTAGTGCCTGGGCCTAAGCACACTCAGAGGTCCCCTCCCCAGTTTTCTTTATGTGACGGTGGCTTTTGTGGAACTCCTAAGCTTCCCGACTCCACTTTCCAAGTTCTGGATGGTGCATCTCCACACCTGGCCCTTTGCCCAATTCTCTTCAACCCAAGGAAAAAGTGCACTGTGCCTCAGACGCCCGCAGGATAGACACTTCTTCCACGTCACCACACTCAGCTCCTCTGCTGCAGGGGACACCTAACACCGGCTTCGACAGAGTCTAGTTTCTTGGCCTTCAGCCATTTCCAGGCAGAGACTCCACCCAAGTTCAAGGGCCCTACAGTCACAGTGACTCTTTAAATGCTCTCTCTAGAGAGGCTCTCTCTTTGATTAGACTGTGTCCCCAAGATTGGAGATAATGCTTTAGGTTGGGGGTAAGATAGTCAGTCAACCAGAAGCCCAGCTGAACAGATGGCAGGTATTTGAGGCAAGTTTAATAAAGTGATTGTTTTAAAAAAGAGATGGCAGGGTGTGGAGAAGCCACAGGGGAGAGCGCAGAACCCCAAAGGGTTCATCAAAACACCAGCATCAACAGACCCCACCCCCGCCTGGACAGGGGAGGGAAGGAAGAGCTGCTGTGCAGGGTGAAGCTGTGCAGGGGAGGGAAGAGAGAATTCTGTGCAGGGTGAAGCTGTTTGACAATTGCCCTTTACAGTAGATAGATGTCATCACACCTTGAAGGTCCCACAGATGGGCAACTGGGAAATACGTATCTTGAACTCATTTCTTCCCATCTCCAAGCAGTTGGACTGAACTGACACGGAAGCCAACAGATAAAGGAATCTTCTGTTTTGTTGTGGGGGGAAGGAGTCAAGTTGGAAATACAGAGCCAATGACCCTTGGACTCAACCATTAAGGGATGGGGGACCAGACTTGAACATCCCAGCACATCAGACAAGATGGAGAGAGCTGGTGTGGGGGGGGGTATCAGAGATGGTGGAAAACATAGGAAGAGCAGTCTCCTGTCAAGAAAACTTTAAACCTCAGACATTCAGAAACTGAGAATGCCAATAGAAGCAAGGTGACTTTGAACAAACTCATGACCTTGATGGCTATGCTCAAGGGTTCAGTGGTTAAAGGCAAACAACATCCGTATACTGCTGTCTCTTTGTAAGGATACTTTTGGCATGCGAGAATTGTATTCGCATAACCGTTCCCCGTGCATCACCAAGTTGGAATTTTTCCTTCCATGTTTTCAAGGACATTTTGAAGCAGAGTCACAGCAAACTCCCCATTATCTGCTTAGCAAGCATCACTGGCTGGCAAGATGGCAGCATCGCTGTGCAGCGATTGAAAGACATCTGAGTTAGGCTCTCCTCTGCCCCTCGCTCCCTGGTCCTTTCAGTCACCAAAGGCCCATACTGGCATCCAGTTTCTTTCTCTGGAGAAAGTTGGCTGTGATCTCGAGGTGCCTTCTGACGCTGGCATGCTATGACTCTCATACATCCTATGAACAGAACAAGTCAAGACATTTAGCCCATCCGACCTGGCCAGTCCGTTTTGCTCAGGCAATATTGCTTCTTTGAAATCATCTCTCTTCAAAAGTGTTTCTTTACTGTAACCAAGACTCGAGGGGAAGGACTGCTTTCCAGTGGACTCATGCCCATCAAAACAAACCAAAGTGGACCACTGCTAAAATGGGTCCGTCTGTCACATTTCCTATTTGTTTGGCTTTGGAGAATTGGACGGAGCAGGACTGAGGAAGGGTGACACACCAGGCTGAGTCACCACCTGAAGAAGATTCCTGCTCCGAAGGCTTCTGAGCTGGGCGACAAAGGTAAGGCCTGCTCTCCTCACTTCCTAATTAGTACAGGTCTCCTCCAAGGAGGGGCTTTGCAGTCGCTTGCTCATCACCCACTTGGTTTTTGTTAGAAAAGAAAGCAAAAATCCGCTTCCAAACTCTCACTCCTTCCCAGATGCTGTGTTCTGACTTGTTCTGAGAGGGGGCTCTCTGCTGTGTGCCTGCCCAGCATCTCCTCTCTTCCTAGGAAGACAGATATCCTTACCTTCTTCTGGTAGAGAGCACCCACCCTCCTCAGGGGAGTTGCAGGGGCCAATTGTAGATTCTGGATACCAGGCTACAAAGACAATGACAAGTTCCCAGTCAGTTCACCCCTGCTCTCTAGAACTGGTGGGAGACAATCCCAGCCCAGATTCAGTTTCTTCTACTGTTCACATACACGCAGACCACTCTTTGAGCCCAGAAGATGTGGGATTTCTCCCAAGCAGGAAGCAAGCAATTAATCGTTCGGCAGACCTTCTCACTGGTGGCCTCTAATTCAGTTGTTCTGATACCATCAACCTGGAAATAGCATTGCATCTCACAGGTTGAAGGATGGTCCACGAGGTGACACCCCATCCATTCCTTCAGATGACAGCTTGAAGCGCTCTCTAGGCAACATGTGTTTCTCTTCCCATCCTTATAAACTGGGGTTCCCACCAGATTTGCTTAGTTTGCCGGAGCATCTCACAAAACTCGAGGAAATATTTAGCTTTTTGGGCTTATTATAAAGACTATTCCAAAGGCTGCAGGTCAGAGATGCTAAAGGTTTTGGCAACCAGATGTATCTGAGGGAAAATGGGGGGAGAATGGTGGAGAGAGTGAGAGAGCAGACAATAGCAAGAGAGAAGGGGAGAGAGAGAGAGAGAGAGAGAGAGAGAGAGAGAGAGAGAGAGAGAGAGAAAGTAACAAGAGTATTTGGGTTATAAGAAGGATGAGTAGCTGGTGGGGGGGAGCCCATGAGCTTGGGGAAGACAGGGGAGGAGGTAAGTGGCTAGGTTGATAGTGTGGACTTTGAAATGTATGACAGGCCCTTGTGGTACTGAGGGAGCCTGGAAGCCAGCCTGGGCTTTGATGTGCTGATAGCCACCACAGGTATGAATCAATAGGAGAACCAAGGTCCCTTATGTCAGAGGAGGTAAGGGAAATGACAGAGGTGGGGGGGGGGGGAAATAGAGGAGTAGAGGCACGAATAAACCTGTTTCACAAGTTCCTGAGGAGTGCTGGCTCTTGTCTAACTGCCAGAAATCCTTCTGTAGTCCAGGCTGAGCTCATCTCTGGATGGAAGGACGGCTTGTGAGGTGTAAGAAGAGATGCATAGGACCTGGAGTGGGAGATGTTTGCAGAGCTTCCGTGGCCCCAGCCTTGGGTAGTACCACTCTTCAGGACTCCCCAAGTCCTTAGCTATCTGGGAGTTCTCTGAACTCTGTCCTGTTGAGTTTTCATGGCGATTTTATTGCATGGGTATGAGTGAAGCCGAGAAAACTGTGTAAAAACAGGACCCGACTAAAAGGGTGTGTCCTGGTATGATTAGTCTGGGTGGGGCAGCTCAGGAGGCTGCCTGTCAGAGTCTGTGCCATCTCTTGCTCAAGGGTATGAAGTAGGAATCATTCTCAAGTTTCGGTCTTATGATCTGCCCTCAGGAGGGTAGACCTTTTCACGCTAACTCCTCATGGCCTGGAATCCAGGGTCCTCCCACTTCCACTACTGAAGTGCTGGCATTATAGGTATGGACCATCGTGCTGCAAACCAGATGCTCAGAGGAAGGCGGACATATACGACTTACCTCGAGAAGGAGGGATGCTAGCCTCTATAACCTGTCTCAAGGAAAGAATTATGAGCCGGGAACCACAGACAAAACCCAAATGCAACATCACACCCAGGCATCAAGATTGGGTGAGGACTCCGATCAAAGCTAGGCTGTCTGAAAGCAGGAGGGAGCAGTAGGTGGGTAAAGAGCAAGATAACGGGCTCAGGGCCACTGCAGATCCTCCTCTAAGAGCTGCAGACCGCCATTCTGTGATGGGAAGAGATGTGCCTGGGGAGTAAAGGAGGAATGTTTTGTTTGACGGCCGCAGTGATGGCCGACCGTGTGGGTCAGTGTGGGCCTTCCTCATCACTAGGAGCTCGGAGACAGCTGAGGCTGGGAAGCTGAGCGGTGGGAAATGGGCCCTGCTCTGGGGCTGTGGGGAAAAGCAGAAGTCACACCAGGATGCAGGGCAGTTTTTGGTTGTTCTGTGGGTTCCCCCAATGTCTCCAGGGGCAGGGTAGATAGCCCGACCAGAAGAGCTTTCTCTTCCACAAAATGAGTCTTGCTGTTCTTGTTCAAAATGCCTGGATAGTGGTCTTAGTTACAGCAAATGAAATTTATTTCCCTCTCTTTTCTTTCCCAAATGGATTTGACAGACGCAGGGTGGCAAGTGTATGTTGCCCGACAGTCTATGTTGATCAAGTGATTGTCTTTTCAGTTATTCAATGTCTATTTATTGAACAACAACTAAGTGGCAGACGCTTTTCCAGATGCTGGGGATAGGATAATGAACAAAGCAAAGAGAAGTATGAGCGAATTTCATCCTCACACAGCCCCTCCCATACCAGGAAATAGCATCACCACCCAGGTAGCTAGACAGGCACAAAGTCCAGGATTGTTGTATTGTACCCAAGACCTTCTTCAAGTTTCCTCTTCCAATTTTACCAGAATCTCTCTATTTCTTCCACCTTCTCTGCTTCACCCATAGCCCAAGACATTGTCATAAGCTCTCGGTGATATCTCTGCAACCATTTTTCCAGTGTTCCATTTCTCCCCCCAGTCCCAAAAGTACACAGAAGTCCCACTGGCCATCCCCAACACACATCAGTTCATGTCCCACAACACCTAATGGATCTGCTGAGAGCTAACAGCCAGATGGGCATATCTGTCTCAGAAATAAATTAATGGTACTGAAAGTGCGTGGCTTGTGAGACAGTCTCCAGGTGTAAAAGCGCCAAGGATAATTTTTTGTTTCCTTTTTCTCACAATAGAAAATGTCATAAGGAGCTGGGCACGCATGGTGGTGCACATTTGCCATCCCAGGACTTGTAAGGTGGAGGCAGGGGGAGCAGGAGTTCTGTGCCATCTTGGGCTATATGAGATAAGAGAGAGAGAGAGAGAGAGAGAGAGACAGAGAGACAGAGAGACAGAGAGACAGAGAGACACAGAGAGAGAGACACACACACAGAGAGACAGAGAGAGAGAGAGAGGGAGGGAAGGAGGGAGGGAGAGAGAGAGAGAGAGAGACTGGCTAGTTTAATGTCAACTTGACATAGGCTAAAATCATCAGAGAGGAGAAAACATCAATTAAGAAAATGTCTTCACAAGATCATGTTTCATGCAAGTCTGTAGCACATTTTTCTAATTAGTGATAGATGGGGAGAGTGCCCCCCCCACCTATAGTGGGTGGTGTCACCTGTGGGCTGGTAGTTCTGGGTTCTCTAAGAAAACAGGCTGAAGCCAGGTAGTGGGGGCTCATGCCTTTAAGCCCAGCACTTGGGAGGCAGAAGCAACCGGATCTCTGAGTTCAAGGCTAGCCCGGGCTACAGAGTGAGGACTACAGTCCCTGTCTAGGACTGACAGGGAGGGCTGTACAGGAAACCTTGTCTTAAAAAACAAAACAAACAAACGAAGAAAAGAAAAGAAGAAAAGAAAATACAAAAAGAAAGAAATCAGGCTGAGACTGAGCTGGTTAAGAAGGCAAACCAGTAAGCAGCTCTTCTCCACAGCCCTGGCATCAGCTCTTGACTTCAGGTCCCAGCCATGCTTGAGTTCCTGTCCTGACTTTCTTTGGTGATAGACTATGGTGTGGAAGTGTAAGCCAGGTAAACCCTTTCCTCCCCAACTTGTTTTTTGGTCATAGTGCTTCATCAGAGCAACAGCAACCCTAGTTAGGATAGAGACCTAAATAAATAAAATAAAGCCATACCTAGGGATGTGTTCCTGTAATCCAAGACCCTGGAGAGACTGAGGCAAAGGTTTCAAGAGTTCAAGGCCAACCTGAACCATAGATCAAATTCAAGGGTACTCTAGGTAATGTAGGCAATTTAAATACTTTCAAATAAAAAGAAAATTACTAATGATACAGCCCAGTGGCAGAGTGCTTGTCTAACATAAGACCCTAGTTCAGCGCTCAACACTCAAGAATAAACCAGGGGTTGGAGAGATGGCTCAGTGATTAAGAGCACATATTGTTTTCCCAGAGAACCCTAGTTTACTTCCCAGCACCCTCATCAGGCTACCGACAGTCACCTGTAACTCTGGCTCCAGGGAATCTGGAGCTTTCTTCTGACCTCTGCAGGCACTGCCCCCCCCACACACACCAAAAGATAAGTCCAGTTGTAAATCTATCAACAGCGCTTCTCAGAGCAATCCTTGTGAATCTTCCTCCCTTTCATTGTTCAAAAGTAGGGATGATCCACAGTACTTTTCCTGCCATCTGGAAATCCCAGCTAAAGCTCCATCAAGACAAAGGGGCTGTCAGCAAAACACCTTCTCAAGAGAGCTCATTGCTGTTATGGCTACATCTGGAATGTCCCCCACAGGCCGTGTGTCTGAACACACTTGGTCGCCAGATGGTGGTACAGTTTTGAGAGGCCGTGGAGCCTCTGGGTCCTCTAGCTTAGCTAGCAGAAATGGGTCCCTGAGGATCGGTTTTGAAGGTGATATGTCTTTCTGCTTCTGGCTTTGGCATCCTGCTTCCTGATGTATCAAGGCATCAGGAGCCGCCTCCCTGTGCTACCACCACTATAACGGAGTCTTTCAAACCCCTACACCTTCCCCTCCATGATAGACTTTACGTCCTGATGCCATGGCCCAACACAATCCTCTCTCCCCTTATCTCGTTTCTGCTGCGTATTTGTTCACACCAACAAGAAACAGCTGTAAGGAAAGTAATGAAGACAGCTGCCCACCATGATGCCTCTCCCACTCCCAGAGTTTACTGGCCCAATCTCCATGAGATGCCTAGGATGGGATTGGAGGGAGAGACACAATCATCTGCCTCGAGAAGACTTCGGGGTTCCTGGTAAGAGGAAACCCTCCTCGTGGTGCCAACTAGTGGGAAGAGCCTCTCTTAGTTACTTTTCTGCTGCTGTGAAGAGATATGGTGAACTTTATAAGGTGACTTAGAAAGAAAGCATTTAGCAGGGGGTGGTTATGTTTCAGAGGGTTAGAGTCTGTGATCAATATGGTGGGAAACAAGGCAGCAGGCAGGCAAGCATGGTGCTGGAGCAGTAGCTGGGAGATTACATCATATCCACAAGAGAGAGAAAGAGAGAGGATAGGGAGACACACACACACACACACACACACACACACACACACAGAGAGAGAGAGAGAGAGAGAGAGAGAGAGAGAGAGAGAGAGAGAGATTGGAATGGCAGGGGCTTTTGAAACCTCAAAGCCCACACCCAATGGCATACCTTCTTCAACAAGGATGACCACACCCCCTAATCCTTACCCAAAAGTTCCACTAACTGGGGACCAAGCATTCAAGCATAGGCACCCATCTGGAGTATTCTAATTCAATTCACCACAGAGCCCCCAAAATGTAATGTGTAGAAGGGCCAGTCCTAGGCAGAGGAATTGTTCTCAAATTGATGCCACATTCTATTTGCCTTTAGGCTGAGGTAAGAAATGTTAGGCCTTTACATCAAGGTGGATTTAGGATCAGAAGAGAGCTGGATAGAGGAGAATCTGGCTAGACATAGTGGATCAGGCAGACAGTGGTTAGGCTATAGGTGTTCTGCCCAGCATTTGAAGGCCCATCCCAGTGAGGGCATTGGTGGGATGTACTAGTCAGAGGAATCCCAACAGCCAACCCAGGAAGGACTGTAGCTGTAGCCAGAGAAGTAGAGACTCTAGTCTTGTTTTCTTCCCTGTCTACCCACTTCAGACACACGAGAGGAGCTGGGCATGAAGAAGGAAGGGAAGGGAATTTTTGAGACCCAGATTACTCGCCTCTCCTATCTTCCTTCCGAAAAGGATGCCAGCTCAAGAGAGCTGGGTGAGGGTGGGGGAAGGCAGAAGCACGGCAAGGGGATGGTAAGGTCTCACAGGAGATAGTCACTTAGGCAGGAAGTTATGCAATCATCCCGTGTCTGTCCTGTGTCTCTGACCTCTCCCCCTCTTCCCCCAAGCTCTCTGTGGGGTGGGGACCACTTTTTTATAGACTGTACTTCCCAAGATGCTGGCTCAGCAGACTTCTAGCTTGGTGTAGATGAGTCCTTGAATAAGGAGGAAAAACAAACCCTGAGCGAACACTCTGTTTGCTGTGGGCTCTGTCTCCCTCATGACTACAGGCCCAGCACAGGCCAGGCTCTGAGTTCCGGTCCTTGTCACCAAGCTCTGCAGACACATCCTTCTCCGCTCACCTGTCCTTTCATAATACCCGGATGGACATTACTGCCCTCCATTCCTT